CCCTTGCTAATGACACTCAGATTTACAGCCCACTAGCTCCCAGTCCAAATTTTCCTCTCCAAGCTCCTTGCCCAATTTCAATGTCCCTCTCCACCACCACCTGGGGCCTTGTCCCAATCTCTTTGCCCAGCCAGTCCAAGTTTTTCCCACATACCCTGGCTCTCCATCAGACAGGTCTATCTCCTCCTTTCTTATCTCCTTCCTCCCACCCCACTGGCTCAGTCATAGTTTCTGCTCCAGTTCACAGTCCCAATTTCCTCTCCCTGCCCAACTTTCAGTCCCAGCTTCCCTCTTCTCTGTCCACCACCCTTCAACCCCAGTTTCTGCCCTAACCCCCCCAGTGCCTTGTCCCCTTTGCATTTGAATCAGGCAGCTTTCTCCTTCACACTGCCTGGCCCCAGTGGAGTGCCTAGCTCCAGCACAGCCTACACCATGCCTTATGCATATGGAGTCTTTGGGGAATTTAGCTGCTAGAACCCACTGTGCATGTGCAAACTGCTTTTTTAAATAAAAGGCTTATAACTTAGCCACATTCAGGCAGATTTTCATGGGAAAACCAAAACGCACAGCCCTCAGAAGAAAGCCTCCATATCTGCCATGTTTTTGAAAGAAGAGACTGCCAGGATTATTTAACATGGGCAAAACAATGTATTTTTCCTAGCCTCATTTCTGGAAACAGCTGAACTATTTTGGCAGATGTATTCAAAAACAAATTCATGCCAAGGCAAACACATGGCATGAAAAAGTTAAAGTTGAATTTTGGCAGGTAGAGACAACTGAGGTTGCATTTATATTTACATGCAGACTTATACTTACATTGGGAAGTGTCAGGCAACTTTAATAATATGCTTTACTACAAGCATTTCCTATCATCACACATGTGCGCACACATGCATACGTACACACATGTATACATGCACACAGGTATAGATTAATGCACCATTTCTTAGTTTATTTTTCTTTATTTGTTTTTACTTTATTTTTATTGCAGGTCACCCTCAGATTGCTTTGGCAATGAGTTGTTCCAGTTAAGGATCATAACCCATATTAGCATTGCATGAAATATAGCCCTAAATTTAGCTGTAAGCACTCATAAGTGATGCTTCTTAAGAACTGAATGGCTCAATTTATATGACGAATCTAAAAATAGTGTGAGTTATTACACTGTAGAAAATCAATGGAAAAGTCCAACATGAGAATGAAAACTTTGGGTGAGGGAAAAGAATCACTTGAACAGTTATTTGATGATTTGCTTACATCATTAACTTATTCCTTTATACCATTCAAGTTTCTCAGTGTCTGTCTAGAGAGGTTTCAGCGGAAATGTTCCGAAAACACTGTCAATACCATGGTTTTCTGTATCACTAGATGAATAAGATAGCACACCCTTCCTGTGTTTTATCCATACAAACTCAAAAGAGTTTTTGGGGGATGTTAAACTTAATAATAAACTAGAGGTTGCATTTATAGTTGCATGCAGACAACAAACCAACTCACTGACTCAAAAAACCAAACCAATGAGAGCTATCACTTAAGGCTCTAATGCTTCACATGCAATGTGGACAGAATTGGCAACTCTTCCTTAGGAAAGACCAAAACACTTGATTACCAAAAGTAAACTTTAAATATGCCTTATTCATCTCTTTCTTAAACAATGTGAATGCCTTCTCTTTGGCACCCCACTTCTCAGTTTTCCACTCTCCAAAATAACTCTACTTTCAAGTTGCTCTAGCCATGTCTGGGGTCCCTTTCCTCAGTCTCTTCACCAGTTTCATTTCACATAAGCTGTAAGTGCCCAGCTCTACCCGGGCTTACCTCTCAGCTCTTTCTTTCTTGCTCCATCATTTCCAGCTAGTCCTTTAAGTGCTGTCTTTTCTCACACTGAGCATCATGCTTTCTTTTTGCACTGCCATCTACGCTTGGAAGTAGGAGTAGACTGGGGATTCAGTTCTGATTACAGAAGTAACAGCTGACATTGTGACAAAATGTTGCCTCTAGTCCTCTTAATTCTGTGAATGGGGTCAACATTCTTCCCAACCAGGAAGGTTTTATCTCAACTGCCTCAACTTTGACTTTGCTTTGGGACACAATGAATGAAACATGATATGTCAGTGATCCTAAGATACACACTTTGACTGCCAAGACAGCAAAGCCACAACCTCTCGTGGCAATATAAATGTCTACTGCTCTGTCAGCCACACATGTGGAAATCAGGCAATGGAAGGCTTGGCAAGAAACTATGCCAAGAGCCAGAGAGCACTTTCCATTTGGAAGAGCTATCTGTCCTCAGCCAAGCACTGCTCAAGGGCCTGGGAAAAGCAAAGAGAACTCACATTGACCTAGCACAGCAGATGCCTGGAGCTAACCAGCACATTTCAAGCAGAGATGGTTTGAACTTGAGATGACTCATAAAAATCTCAGTTCCCTTTGTTGCTATCAGTGTTATATCTTAAACAAATGAAAAAGTTTGGCAGTAACTAGTTAATTCTGGTGACTTCTAAACACTATTATTTTAGTGAAGGCACGTGGCCACAAAGCAACACCGTGCAGTCCTTTCTAGGATTAATAGTATATTAACTAGATAAGGAGAACAACCGTGCTTCATTGTAAAACTTTCAGTAATGCATATACACAGGAACCATCATTTCAGATGCATTTCTGGGCATGCTTAAAAAATGGCTTACTGCCAAAGACTTCAAACAGACTTTGCAATCCCACATCGAGGACCCATTATTAGCATCTCCCTCCAGAGAGGAACTTATTTGCCGTGAGCTGGAAGTTGGCCTGGCATTTCAGCCCTCCTCTTCCACTGTCTCCAAAAAGCACAACACACACACACACACACACACACACACACACACACGCACACACACACACACAGATTAGGTCTGGCTAGCGCACAGCTGATTCAGTGTGCTGTGGCCATGTAGGACTCCACTTTCAGAATAGCTAGATGCCTGCTGGAATATAAAATATAATTGGGTTCTCACCGTCTTTTGTTCATCATGTATCCGCTGGAGCTTCCCTCTTCCGGTGCCCTAAATGACTTCCTTTTCCCCTTTCTAAACCCTCCTTAAATGATGTTTTTCATACAATCTTCCAAGCTCTCCCATCATTGCCTTGATTCTTAATCGTTTGCATGGTGCCTGAATGAACTGGACTAAAAGCCCCTGCAGGCCAGCAACCATTTTTACATGGACAGTACCCTGAACACCCTATAAATAATACAGTCATGGTGGAAGGCCTAATTCTCAGTAACAGTAAGATCGTTAAATTGCTCTGACAGCATAAAAGTATCTTAAAATGGATGTAGCTGTAATTTGCCCAGTGTTAAGGACCTTTTGTACCACCGTAGCAGATCAAAGAGGACTAACGGTATGTCTACACTATATTCTAAAACCCACGGTGGCAAGTCTCCCAGCCTAGCTCTTCAGGCTTGGGCTCATGGGCTCATTCCAGAGCGCTAAAAATGGTTGCATAGGCATTTGGAATCAAGGCATTTGGACTCCAGCTGCAGCTCAGGCACTGAAGCCAAGGATAGGTGGAAGCATAACATGCACTCTCCTATTTTTAGTTTGACTGGTAGCACAAGCTGAGTCCACAGACCCAGGCTCCAAGACCCGTTGCTAAGGAATTTACACCACAGTGTAGATGTAGCCTTACTGTAACTGAGAAGAAGGGCCCCTGTCTATGTCAACTGAAATTTTATGAAGCCCTTTGGAATTGCTGGTCACAAAAGGCACTGGAGCAAGATTTTACTTCTTTGTGATATGAGGTAACATTGTTGCCACAAGTCAAGCTAGACAGTAAGACCAGATTCAGCGCTTAGCGTTTCTAGTGGCAAACTATGGGTATGTCTACACTTGCACCCTCTTTCGAGAGAGGGATGCAAATGAAGACATTCGAAACTGCAAATGAAGCCGGGATTTAAATATTCCGCACTTCATTTTCATATTCACGTTATGCAGCTATTTCGTGTTATGGCTGTTAAGACATGGTTATTTCGAGAGAAAACCTTTCTCTTGAAATAACTGGTAAACCTCATTGTATGAGGAATAAGGGTTATTTCAAGAGAAGGGTTTTCTCTCAAAATAACCGCATCTTAACAGCGTCTGTTATTTTGAAATAGCGCTATTTCAAAATAGTGCCATAACGTGAATATGCAAATGAAGTGCGGGATATTTAAATCCCGCCTTCATTTGCAATTTCAAATGTCTTCATTTGCATCCCTCTCTTGAAAGAGGGTGCATGTGTAGACATACCCTATGTTAATAGATGTTCAGGACAAAATGGACCATTGTGATCATAGGCCTCATCTCCTGCATAATACAGAACCTCACTGAGTGATTCCTGCATGTAGCTCAATAACTTGTGGCTGAATAGAGCATTTTTAGAAATAAATACAGTCTCTATTTAGACTTCAAATGAGGGTGAATTCTCCACATCCCTCAGTAAGCTGTTCCAATGATTAATTACTCCCATCTTAAAAATTTGAGCTTTACTTCCCATTTGAATTTGTCTAGCTTCAGCTTCCACCTATTGGATTATGTTATGCTTTTGACTATTAGATTAAACATCCATCCCACCAGCATCTCAAGATATCTCTCAAATGACTCAGCTATAAATTTTAAAAAAAGCATTTAATCCTTTAAGTATCTCCCTGTAAGGCGAGTTTTCCATACCCACAGTTATTCTCATGCATAGTCCCAAAGCCTTTAATAAGGCAATGCACAGAAGTAAGTAACCTTTTGCAGCATCAGGCCCTGCATTTGTAAATAAAATCCAAACTCAGTGTGTGTGTGTGTGTGTGTGTGCGTGTGTGTGTGCGTGAGGGTGTGTGTGTGTATGTGTGTGTGTGTGTGTGTGAGATATGCATGCACATAGTCCTTCTAATTTAAAACATTTACAATATCATGTAATTTAGTTCTTCTATTTTAGCTCAATGATTCCCAGATAGCGCCTTAGCATAGTGGTGGAATTTTTGATTCTCCCAATCATACCTTATTCTTCCCCTCTAGCATTGCCATGTGTTGAGTGATGCTCTGAATTCTGTTTCCCGTGCTGCTGCCACTTTTCAAGATGAAAGGTCCCTCGGTGTTAGAGCAAACATCATACCTAATGACAGGAGAAAATGAGTGTGGAATGAACATCTGATTCAGAAGAATAAGTAGCTGTCCTAAGCACCTGCTGCTCCTAAGAGAAGGGCTCTGATAATATGGCCAATTACATCTATGCTTTTTAATCTCATTATCAAATATGGGCTGGAGGTTGAAGTTCAGATCCAGATCCACATTTCCCCAAAGAGTGGGGGAGGAGGGTTCTTGGAACTCTTTGTTCTTGTCTGATCTGCTGTAGAGGAGGGATTCAGATGTGAAATTCACAGATGGACCAGAATCTGAACTGAATCAAAATTTGGGACTATTTGGGCTAAGTATTCTGATTCCAGTGATCCAACATTTGAAGCCCACTGCTATGATTCAGCCTTAGCTTTAATTATTACTTATATGATTTTAAGACAAAATGCTGAAGAATATAAAAAAAACTTCTGAGATAAAAAAATTATTCTGGTGCAATTTCTTTATGTGCAAATTCTTTTGGTTATTATACAAATTATGTCACAAGCTCTACATTTTCTTTGTTTCAACAGATTATCTTCCATGTGTTATCTTTCAATTTACAAATTTACAGAATATCTACTGCTATGACTTTCTGTTTGCAAGATGAGCAATAAAATAACCAAATAATCATACAAATTCACAAAATAAAAAGTTATATCAACCTGCCACAGGGTTCAAACATTTTATAAAGATAAATAAAAATCAAAATACATTAATTAATGGAAATCTCAAGATAAAATATACTTCTCTTATACTACAAATTAGCTTTTAATCAGAACATTAAGATGTGGTCATGATGAAAGTAAGTTGTTTTTAAAACCTTAATTTGATACATATGGAAAAAAACACTTTGGAATGCCTGTTACTTTCTGTCCATCTCAAGTGTTTTCTCAAGGCATCTAATTATATTTTTAACTATCACACTCAATCCCAGGCAGTTTGGATGGAATAGCTTGCTTCTTTTTGCGAAAGTTCTTTCAAGTTTGATAGTTCTTCAAACACATCAAAGTTTTTAAATATAACACATTTAATGCTCATCAGCAAATTGGTTTCATATGCATATCCCACTGTTTGGAGAAATCACTGTTAAAAGCATTTGGCAGTGCACTGACAGCTACTGCTAAACTGATCAAAGAATCAAACAACTCTACAGTTTTCTTGGTTTCTTCATTGCTTTAATACCACTGTAGATGGTTTAAATCAGCATTTCTCAACCAGTGGTACAAGTACCCTTAGGGGTACTCAAGAGAAGTCTGGGGGAGTACATCAACACAACTGACATTTGGAGACAACTGAATTTTTGTTTTAAGTTTTACAGCGCTTTATTATTTTTGTACTTTTTACACCCAAAAATTTCATCGCCCACCCGGCTATGATTAAGTTGTTTAAACAAATGTGTTGCAATGGTAGAAAAAAAATGGTATGTCTGAAAACTGTAGGTACTGTGGATACTTATAATTTATGTTTATAAAAGGGGAACTTTATAAAAAAAGGTTGAGAAACACTGGGTTAAACCATATAATTAAACCTAGTGATTAGCGCACCATTCTGAAGACCCCCAAAGCCTTTTGCCCCCATGACAGAGACAGAGGAACTAAACCTGGGTCTCCCATGCCAGCAGGTAACAGTTACAAGGTGGGTGCCACTTCCTCCTCCAATCATTGTGTGCGGAGCAAGGCAGGCAGAGAAATAATTCCTGCAAGAAGTGACTGAGGCTCCTAAGCCACCTGCTGTAGGGGGGCTGAATCCTGATCACAGTTCGCTAGCAGAGCTAGCTGATCTGTGCTGCAGATCGATATCAATATAACTACATCATTCAGGGGTGTGAAAAATCCATGCCCCGAGCAACAAAGCTAACTAATTTCACCCTCCACATGTATTGGTGGGAGAGCTTCTTCTGTCAACATAGCTATTGCCTCAGGAGGATGAATTAACTACACCAACGGAAGCGCTCTTGTGTAGACTTGCACTTTGACTCCTATCTCAGAGAGAGGACCGGCTTAGTACATGTGCCTCTGGTCAACATTTCCCATTGGCTAGCTTGGGCAGCTCACTCCCAGCAGGCTAGCTTTGTGGATCACAGTCCAAGGCTTTATCCGTACAGCCAATTGAACAACAAAACTTTTGTCTTTCACAGGTGCTTAAAAAGCCCCCACAGACATTGTGCTGCGACAAACGGCAGTGTGACCAGCTTGTTGTCGGCAGAAGCACTCTCCTGTCGACAGTGCGAACCTTGCTCATGAGGTGGGGGGAGCATTTTTTTGGCAAAAGTGCTGACAGTGTTTACTCTGCCAGACTTTTAGCAGGACAGCCATGTCGCTAAAAACTGTGTAGTGTAGACACAGGCGACAGGGCAGATCCCTCCACTCTTAGTCCCTCTTTCTCCCATCCCTGCTCTGCCCCTCTCCACCCTTGTTCTGTCCTCTTCTCGCCTCGTCTCCATCCTTTCCCCTCCCCCACCTTCCTCTTCTCCCAACCGAGGCGGCCTGGCGCCTGCAGCAGGGGTCTGACTCTTCCCCCTTCACCACACTCACCGGCAGTAGCAGGGGAAGCAGAGCAAGGCGGCTCTAGCTCACTTTGCTCCCCCAGCTGCATGACTCCTGGAGCGGCATGCCAGGACAGCAAAGCGAACTGCTTCTGACTTGCTCCACTTCCCCTGCTGCTGCCTGCTTGTCCCCTGCCCTCCCACCCATCATTGGGAGCACACAATCCCTCGTGTTCCCCTTACACATCGCCCAAGTGGGCACCTGTCTCCCTCCATCCTTTATTGTACAGGGAGCCGAGGTGTCTAACTTGGCTTTGTGAATAGCAGTTGCTGTTTCTGTGATTTTCTAGGCACTAAGAAGTTAGGTGCTTTGATACTCAGTATTGCAACATCTATGCCCCATCACGAGTCCTGCCCTACCTAACGAACAATTTATATCTTGGTTTTCATATGCTGTTTCAAAAGTCAGTTTCCAGGAGCACCCTTGTGCTGGGTGGAGTGGATGGGATATAACTTCAAAGACAGTTTTGTCATCTCATTCAAAAGCACGCAAGGACAAAAAATAGGCTTTAAAAAGGTTCATATAAAGGTAATCCCTGTCCGCTTTGGCTGCACCACTTTTCAGCCAAAAGTGTTTTTAACAGCCTGCTTGAAAAACAGGAAACTAACACAGAGAGAACTGTAACATAGATGGGGCCAATAATGCTTGGCTATTGCTGTGGCTTGCAGGACATAGTGACCTCAAGCCTCTATGTATACAAATGAATATTCATCTAGTCTCTTGCCATTGGGGTAGGGGAGGGATCTTCTCATTGTCAAGTGAGGTATCCAGGATCTCAGTTCAACTGTTTTTCTTGTCCCCAAGGTTTTATCTTTTGCCCTTCGAAGCGGGTGAAATTGTAGTCTTACTTCACTGAATACATTGATGGCTTTTTTGCTGCTGTGTTGAAAGTCTGGCCTCTTTGTGATAAAAGTACTTGTTGAAAAACATAATTTGGCAAGGGAAGGTGAGAAGGTTTAGATTGAAATGGCTTCACAATGAGAATTAGGTGGTGCAACTGCAATGCCAATGATCACGTAAACCCCTTAGGCCGTGTCTACACTAGGAGATTATTTCAGATTTACTAAGTTCAACTTCTGGGAACCTGATTTTACAAATTCATAGTTCCGTGTCCTCACTATAGGGAAGAATTGAATGTAGTCCAAGGTAGTATGTCCACATTAATGGAGCTTGCCTTGGACTCAGAGCCCCAGGAAGCACTCTGGGGAGCTGTGGGAGCGTCCCGGAGGCCAATTAGTTCAAATTGGCAGCACTGGAGCATCTACACTAACGTTATTTTGGACTTACAAGTTCGGGAATAGTATTACTCCTCATGAAAAGCAGGACTACAGAGTTTGAATTCCACAGCCCCTTATTCTGGAATAATGGGCGTGGTAGTGTGGAAGTATCGCTTAGAAAATCAACTTTGGGGGGCTAATTATAGACTAAAGTCCTACTGTAGACCAGGCCTAAGAGAATGATTTATAGGGGAGTATGCATGATCAGACTATAAACTCTGGGACAAGTGACTATCTCTGTTATATATCTGTATAATGCCAATAAATAATAATAATACCAATAATACCAACATAAGTAATACATTGGCCTGGGGATACGCATAAGTAGCTTTTATTGACTTCAGATGTTATATTATGTTTACACTGCTGACTATAATAGTAATACAATTATAATGGAAAATCAAATTAATTAGCACCAGTTAGCCATACTTTGTGTGACTTCTTCTAATTTTAATATCAATATAAATGAACTTTTAGTGTCCTAACTTTGTTAGCCAGTTCAGTGCCTATTCTACCTCACCCCAGGTTATTTCCAACTGGTACCATTGTTTAACCCAGTAGAATTTGTTAGAGCTGTGCAATAAGTTAAGGAGAGAAATTAATGTAATATCTGTAATTAAAATCATGTCTCCTTCTTTGGTTCATAATGGCAGGTATCTTGTAACGAAAAGGAAAAATTGGATTTAAATATAAGCATTGAGCCAAGTTTATGTACTGATCTTTGGAAAGGCACAAATAAGACTGGAGGTATACAATTCCATTCTGGACTGGCCTGAAAAATCACAATCATCTTCTAATTATTTCAATTGATGTTTCACTGTGGGGCTCCTCATATAGCTTCCTCTACACATCTTTGTTTGTGTTTTTGTTGTTTGCCAATCTCTTCAAATTGTTTGCTATTTAAAATAGGTGAGTCACTCCTATTTATAACCAAAAATGTGTATTTCCCTGGGGAAATCCCACAAATCTTTGGGACTCAGAGACTGAATGATTATTTTTTACCTGGACTTCTCTGGAAGTAAGCAAACTCCTGAAATACTTGCAGCTGAGCTGCGTTTAGTTTCCTTAAACTTCCAGGAAGGTTTATCTCAGAATTGGAGCCAGACCAATGAAAGCACACAACACACACAGCAAATCACAAACAAGTCAGAGCTCTACCAGCATGCTTGTAAATA